CCTGTCCCCGGCCCCACGAGCTGCGTGGCCATTGCAACCCAGCAGAGCCATCAAAACCCGCTTCCCGACAGAACAAATCAGTGAAGGATGGAGAAGTGAGGTTTTTCCTCATTTTCACCAAGAGTGTTTTTCTTGGCTCAAAAGTCCAAACAAACGACACGAGCTCATTAGGCCAATTTTCTGTGGGATTAGCACAGCCACGACGGTCCTTCCAACGGGAACGGCAGCAGCACCGGCGCAGGAAAACCGCCCTCCCCTTGGGTGTTTTGCAGCAACCGGAGCGGGTCCATGACCCCACCGGCCACCGCACTCCTGCCAAAGCTGGAGTGAACCACATCCATCCTGCACCCAGCTCTGGGCTTCTCCACAGAGCGGGCAGGGGAGGAAGGAAACACAGCCTTGGTCTCACGCAGGAAAAGAATAAATACTGGATAATGCCTGGAGCCAAAGAGCCATCTCCGAGCTAACTGAGGGCACACCAAGGCTTTGCTACGCAGATTTAAGCCTGCTGCGGTTTAGCTGCCAAGGTCCCCGCCTCACTACCCCAGACCAAGGCAACCGCAGCACGAGGGCTTTGCAACTCCTCTGCTTCTGCACGAACCAACGCTTGGGCCACTCCTGTCCCAGCGTCCGAGCCAGAGCACCCAGGTTAGGAGGAGAACAAGCTCCCATACCGAACAGCAACACACCGGCTCCCAGCACAGACCAGCGCTGCCGAAGCCTTACCGTGGTGTTTCACCAACACAGTTTGCACCAGGCAAAAAGACCTTCCAAGTAGCAGAGTGCTTTTTTTTCCTTGCTTGCTGCTTAGCAGGGAGGGAGAAGGAACAACTACCCAAAAGACCATATTAAAACAGAACTTGGGATTTCTGGGGATCTCCAACCCAAAGCAGGGCAGACTTCAGGGTTGGTTGGTCAGGGTGTTACCCAGCGTAGAGAACAGAAAGCCACGCAAGGCACCAGTTTCACAAGCTTATATTAAAGAACATAATATTAACATGCATTTTATCACCTTATCTCTTCCTTTCCTCTGCTGCCCGACGTACTGGGCTGGGTTAATTAAAAAGTCATCAGCCCAGCGCAACGCCCTCAGCAGCAGCCTTGGCCCCGGTTTCTCTCCCTGCAGCCGTTCAGCTCCGCGGGAGCTCAGCTGTGACCAGCTCTGGGGACCGGTCCCATCACACACCGGGAGGAAGCAAGTCAGCGAGACCAGCACAGATGGGCTTAAAAATCGCAGTGGAGATCTGCATGAGGCTTTGGGAAACGGTCTGTACCAGCAAGGGCAGAGAAGCGGTGGCACCCACTGCCCTGCCATAGGTGGGCAGGGTCCGTCTTGCCGCAGGGTGGACAAGGCGATGCTCCGAGCTCTCTCCCAGCCCTGCCTGCGAGCAGGGAAGCATATCAAAGGGGAGCTTTCAATGGAGAAAGGGGTACGGGACCGGGATCCAGCGAGAACAAGCAAAGCAAGCCCAGAGACAGCAGCAGGAGGGATGCTGCAAGGAAAGGTGACCCAACCTCTCTGTCCAGCAACACACACCCCCCCCGAGCACCCCGTGCGTGAAGTCTCATTTGCAGGATGCTCAGAAGAGATGCTGCTCAGCTTGCTCTCATGGCATGAGCATTCGCCTGCGGAAGAGAAGTGCGTAACAAACTATTACATTTTAAATAATTTTAAACGAAGGAACAAGATGCCTATTGCTGTAGACACCAGTCCCTGAGGGATTGTGTAAATCTCAGCTCGCTATGAGTAAGAAGAAAGCAGGCTGTCATGTCAGGCTTAACCACGGCTGTCAAACTTCATATTTCAAATAAGGAACGAGATGCCTATTGCTGTAGACACCAGTCCCTGAGGGATTGTGTAAATCTCAGCTCGCTATGAGTAAGAAGAAAGCAGGCTGTCATGTCAGGCTTAACCACGGCTGTCAAACTTCATATTTCAAATGCCACCTCCTTTAAAAAACAACCACACACCCCAACATGGAAACACAAGCAACAGGGAAAGGCTTTGCAGAATTATATTGTCATCTTATGTTAAGATATCATTTCCCCACGGAAAACAGAGGCCTGACACTGCTCAGCCTCCAGATCCCGTCACCACCAAAGTCAGCAACGGAGCTCCCACCGGCTTCGCTGTACAGAGGCTCCGGGGGAAGATGATGACAGAGCTTTAAGCCACCCCAGCCTCACCAGCTGAAGGAGCAAACTGCTGGGCTGTACCAACCACCTTCACTTGCTTGGGAAGGAAGAGCGATTTATTCCTACACCCTTTCATGCAGAGAAACCCCTTGAGCCCACTTGGTGGGGGAGCTGGAAGTCATTGCCCTGCAGCAGCCAGCAGAAGTGACAATGTCCCCGTGCCTCCCCTCAGCCCATCTCTGAGCTCAGATGTGGGTTTAGGGACACGGGCTTGCCTGGGAGCAGCCAAGGTCCTGCTCAAGGGTGCTAGCTCCTGCCCACCCTGTTCAGCGTCAGACCTGGCACTTACCCCTCTGGTTCAGCAGAGCATTCATCAGATGATGCTCATGAACTAACAAAAGGGTGAGGATTTCTGCCAGCAACCTGATTTAAGCAACAAAAAAAAAAAAAAATCCACACTCTATTTCAAATCTTTGTAATTGTCCAGCCAGGGACAGGAACCCAAACCTCACCAATGTCACCGGGCAGGCTGGTGTCAAAGGCAGGAATGAAAGAGAAAAAGCCTGCCTGGGCTCTCCTCAGATCAATAAAACATGAAGCCACTTCGACAGAGGGTACGATTTTCTGCACAAAGCCTTCCCCTCGCACCAGCCCCGCTCCGCTCAGCCAAGGTGGGGAGCAGGGACCCACAGCGTGCTGGCTCGCTGGCACCGGGACACACACCTCCTGCCAAACCGGATTTGGACATTTTCGCAAAGAGGCTTCGTGCTCCAGAGCCAAGATGGAACAACGCCGTAAATCCACCAGCTCTTGGGAAAACAAGCTGTGGTTGATGGGGGGAGGAGAAAGCACGCAGAAGGCAGCTGCGTATCTAAAGCATCCCCAGGTTGCAGGGAGCCCAAACCCTTCCCTGGGATACATCAGCATAACTGGAGACAAAACCCAGGCTCAAAACCCGACTGCCTCGTGCCACGGGAAATGACCGAATCCAGGCCTGTGTCCTCATGCTGATGGAAAACCCTCGAAACATGCCAGGCAGCAGGATTTATAGCCACACCATGCCCCAACACCTCTCCCAGGGCTTGATGGGTCTCCATCGCTGACCCCTGGGCACCAGCATCTCTTTCCAAGCAGGGACTCAGTGCAGGTGCCCTCCCAAATGCTGGGGTGCCAACACTCCCCCCCCACCCGCCCCGCGGAGCCAGCACCGCCCCAGCTCAGCCCATGCAGCTTCAGAGCCGCACAGGAGCTTTTATTCTGTAAATACAGAATAAACAGGACAATGATCTTCGTCCCCAACCACAGCCGGCCCTGCTGGACCCCAGGGCGAGGGGGAGAGTCCCTGCACATCTAAATCTGGTATCACACCGCTGCGTTAAAATTAAAGCCCTCTCGCCTTGTCTGCTGCAAGCGGCAACGTCTCATCGCACTCCTGTGGGATCGTCGAGATGAGAACGGCAGCTTCAAGGGAAACAGCCACATTAACGGCGTGCAGATCAGAAAGCCCAAGCCGCTTACAAGCAAAGGAGATCCCCTTGGCAGGACAGGAAAGAAAAGTGGAAGGTGAGAGACTGGCAGGACACTTTCCCTGCCAAACCTTTTAGCTTGACTTCATTAAGGCTCCAACAAAGAGAACCAGCCTCAGTAGACCCGTGTAAATTACTGATGCTGTTTTAAGCAGTACTGAAAGGGAATATTCAATACCAGACATGCCTGGTGCAGTTTAAGGAGCGTGTCTTTATCATTTTCTGCTTCACCTGGGACAGAAGAAGAAATCAAACTACGACCCAGTAAGAGGAATAGCCGTGCGAGGCTGCAGGGAAGGAGCACTACTAGTGTTTATGTAGTGTTTATGACATCTGAGAGCACAGCACCTCCAGGATAACACAGAGACAACAGAGAACATCGGAAAAAAGGTCTTATTTAAGAATATGAAGATTTAAGAGAAAAGGCAGAATTCCACATCAGATGCCCAAGCAAGCGAAGCCTTGTCTCCATGGAAACACATCACCTCAGAGGCTTTCGCATACAAAACCCTCTATTATCCACGATTTCCAGAAAGGGAACTGAGGCAGAGAGAAGCTAAACACTCAGACACCCGAGCAGAGGTACCGGGCTGGAAGAAGCTGAGCTCCACCACGTCGCAGCAACCAGCCGCACGGGTCCCCTTTGCCTGAGATGACACTTGTGCCATCAGACGTGGTCAGCTTGAGCCGTGCCAAAAGGGGATTTTGCTTTGCAGTCGGCATGTTCCCAGCACACACAGGCGGCTCTCCCGGCACACCCCAGCTCAGGGCACGGCAATTTAACCATGTGCCCAGGCTTACGCCAGCTCCCCTAGATCAGATGGCGCATCTGCAGCGAAGGCAGTGGCGAGCTGCGGCTTTCTGGATCCCAGACTAACACTCTGCATCCCGGACCATCCTCCTCGAGGTCACCTGGTCATCTGTGTCCCATGTCCTCCTCCTGGCTCAGCAGCGGTAGAGAAGTTTTTAATTAAATCTGGTTTTATTTTGCTTTGCAAGCTCCCAGAAGACAAGCAGGCAAATGGTTACCAACAGGAGAGAGAACCATCCGTTATACCCTGTTTCACCAGCGATCCTGGTCTCGGAGAGCACCATGCATGTTCCCTGGAACCCAGATGACTACCAGGGATCCTGAGCTAAGCACCAAAACAGCAAGGTTAGAAGCAATACCTGCCTCCGAAAGCACAGGAACTGGAGGTTTCCTGGCTCTGACAGAGCACAGGGGAAGCTTAATTAAACCCAGCAGCCCAGATTTCAGAGCAGAGATAAAGTTCTGCCTCTCTCTACCCCAGTGCTCAGAGAAACAGCCTGTACGTATCTGCAAGAGATCTACATCAAAGACACGGTGTTTTAAACAGAAATCCCTCAGAGCAAGAGAAGTAGTCCATGATCAGAGCAACGCCACTGTCTGATGAAACACTTTTTACAGGGAGGAAAAGAGAGAAAACAGTACAAATAGGTTTCAAAACTGGCTGCTCCGCATCCTGCTTTTTCCCCTGTAGAAAGCCAGCCTGCTAAAACACAGAGAGCCCACGCTGCTCCCGAGGTTCCCCCGACACCAGTTTTGCAGCACAAAGCCTGGATGAGGCAGGAACGGCCCCTCATCCCAGACAGCCAGGAGGATTTCACAGCCCATCTGGGTTCCCTCTCCATTGCTTCGCCCTCGGATACAGCCAGCCTCAGGCTTGCAGCCTGCTTAGCTCCAGCATCACGTCCCACCTCCACCATCCCACTTCCACCTGCGCACAGGGAGCCGCGCGTCGGCCACGGTCCCTCCTGCCAAAGGGCTGTCCTGAAGGGCTGGGTCAGGAGGTGGTTTCTCCTCCAGCTTCTCCGTGGACTCTCCGCAAAGCCACCAAGCACACACATCACTAGCACCTTCCCTGTCTGCAGAGGGAGGAAAACACATCTCATATTAAACCCTTTCGGGTAAGGATGAGATAGAGACACGGCCAGTCACACTGCCAGTCAAGCGATTACAACACTGCCCGGCTGGGAAAAGAAAGACTCTGCTAAAAACTCAGGAGGATTCTGTTGCCTGGGGGGTAACATCCAGCAAACCCCCTCCTCAGCCCCGGGCAGCTGCACAGGGGAAGCATCAAGGCGCGGGGTCGAGCGCAGCCCTCGCAGGGGGATACACCAGCCCCTTGTCAGACACAGGGCAGAGAGCTACGGGCACATCTGGAGCAAACCGAGCAAAAAGGAAAATAAAAGTTCCAACCTCTGGTGCTTTTGCCACATCACTGCCACCCAAAGACTCGACCACCAAGCAAGGACCTGCTCCCAGCGAGCCCAGCGGCCCTAGAAGCAATGGTGGCACAAGCACCTGTGGATCTCCGACACCTTCCTCCGAAAGAGCTGGTCCTGGCCACGCAGCATCAGGGCAGGGCTGCAGTGACCCTGGGTGACACAGACAGCTCACCCCAACCAGCACCAGCTTCGACAGCTCAGGCCTATAAATGCAACCTAGAAACCTTCACAAATTGCAGCTCGTGGGTGGTTTATGTGGCAGCACCTTCTGCCAACGGGACCTGCCACCACGGGTTTCCTCGCTGACATTCCCCTCCAGACACTGCAGCAACCCCAGAAAAAATTCCCCCTTCCTACTCCAAGCACAGCAAATTGAAAAAAGCTGGGGGAAAAGCAAATGTTTGCAGGACTTCTCCTTCACCAGCCGAGCCACACCTCTGCCACGCAGGGATGACTCAGTGCTCCAGGCAGGATGACATGGTGGCCATGGCAAGGACAGCATCATGCCATGCCGGGGCAGCACCCGAGCCAGCCCTCGGCCGGGGCAAACACCCCGCCATGCCCCGGTACCTCTCCAGCTGCAGGACAGTCGCACCAGCTGCTTCGGGAGACAGCGATGCCACAGCGAGGGGGACAGCCCAGCCCACGCTGTCCCCAGCAGCATCTCCCCAAAACCACAGAAGTGGCTCCAGCTTGGCTTGCAGGGACAAGGGTGTGTCTCCCAGAGAAAAACAGCTCAGAAATCAAACCACAGAGGAAAGCTCCAGAATAGGCAACTCCTAACACAAGTGATTCATTTATAAATGACGGCCCGAGAATCCGCTACAACAGACGAGTTGGATTATTCACATCATTAGCAAGTCGCAGGCACGTTCCAGGAAAGCTTGCTAGGGAGCAAACCCAGCTTTGTAGCATTTCACATCACCCACCACGGCAGGCCCTTGCTCGGTGCAGCCGGGTTCGCTTCAGGCTCCAGGAACAGCAGAAGACCTGTGATCTCCACAGCTGCAAACAGTCACATTTCGCCTTGATCGGCGGCGGCGCAGTGTCTGGGGGTGCGCAGGGAGGAAGGAACCGCACTCCATGCGCAGCCTCAGCACTACATTACTACACGCTGCAGGACAGACCACCCGCGCTGCCGGGCTCGTGGTTCACCCCAAAACCCGGCAGCATCGCCCACGCTCCAGGTGCCAGCTACACAGCCGGGACACAGCGAGCAGAACCTGGCAGATCCCTGTGCCCTGGCGCACCCGCCACACGCCCTGGGAAGATGCACCTTCCACCCAGAGCACATTCCCCAGGCTCTCAGGCACACTCCAGCACCTGAAGGAAAACAAACGTGATTTAACGAGTCTGAATGAGCCTCCACCTGCTCCCCATCACCCCAGCAGCTGGGCAGCGGGAGAAGGTCTACATTCACAAGCCCCAACACAATTTCAAGCCACACGGTTTCATGTCTTCCTTCAAGAAAGATGCAATAAGCCCCAGATTTAGTGTGCACCCTTGATTTAGAGCTGCAGTGTCTTTATTCCCCCTTCTCTCAAGGGCTTAGAGCACCCACGCTCCACAGGAGAGCGAGAAGCACAAAGCAGGCTATGCACGTTAGCCTCCAGGACACCAGCGCTCCAGGAGGAATGATTCAGAAGCCCAAGGAAATGAGAAGAGTTTAACTCAAGAGAGCCAAATCCAGCGTGGGCAGCTCGACGTCCTCATGACCCTCCTCATGCCACCTCCCCCCTCACCAAAGAGGCACCGAGACATGACAAGACGTGACCGGCGCTGCACCATGCTCTTCCCTGCCCCACCTGCACCTCAGGCAATTATCCAAGAAACACTAACACGAGCAGGCAACCAAACAAAGCGTGGTGGGGCTTCAGAGGTGTCGGCAGGAGAACACAGGCAGAGATGATGAGTAGAACGATGCTGTACTTACCCCCGCAGCGAAGCCTAAGCTCCCATCTAGGATCCGCCTCTGCAAAAGAAAAAAAAAGAACAAATAAACACAAAACACACCATTTACTCCTGGCAGAAGCAGTGGAGTGCAACCACGCCACAAACCACGCAAAGGGGGGGAAGCCAGCTGCACCGCTGCCACGCTGAGATAACTTTCTTCTCCCCATCTCTGCAACCCAAGTCATTTCTGTGCTTTGAGGCGAGAGCCGTGCTCCTCACGCAGAGGAGCCCGCCATCGTGGGGTGATGGCACCCCACCATTACCAAGAGCCTACAGCGCATCCTGGCTCCCTCAACCCACCAACGCTGCCCGGACTGGGCTTGGCCCATCCAGCGCCCACGCCAAAATGCTCTGAGGATATGGAAAGGTAAACCAGAAACTCTCCTGCCCAGTGCACACTGCCCTACATTTCCCTCCCTGGAAGACTTTGAATCCTCTAATAACAGGCTGCTATAAACAACGCCATTAGTCTTCCAGTAACCCAGCACGTATCCTGCCCACTGAACTCCCAGTGCACTTCTTCTTCTTTAGCACATCGCCCTCCCCCAGAAGAAAACCAACGTGCTACTGCAAAGGGAATCTCACTTTGCAACAAACTCCTGAACAAATCATCACAAGAGAGAGGCATAAATAATAAATTCATCCAGGCAATGAACGCAACAGCAAGGGAGGGCCTCTAATTTTGGAATACAAGATGACTTAAGCAGCACTTTGCTTGTTCTGAGCACGGGCTGACCCGGTTCCTGCACCAGAGAAACCGGGTTACAGGAGGAGAACCTGCTATTCCAAACACAGAGCCCTGCCTGCGGCTCTGCCCCATCTCCTGAACACCGTGAGCTGCGCTACAGCACATACCACAGCCTGAGGTCAAGAATTTGATTTCCTTCTCCTCTTCTGTGTTGACGCACAGGAGAGAAACGAGCTGGATTTTTTCTCCTCCTGCCCCAGGACCTCCCAGGGCCAATGTCAAGTCCCTCACGCTTGGGACCAGGCAGCCAAACCCACCCGCGAGCACAGCGCAGCCCTCTGCCCCGGACCCCGCTCGCCTCCCGGGGACAGGGGACACGATCCCAGCACCCACCTGCCCGCTGGAAAACACGAACACCAGCGCCGAGCCAGCCGCTGTCAGCCCCCAGGTGAGGAAGGTTCCCAGCACCGACTGGATCACCGGCCCGTGCCCCGGGATCATGCTGACCTAGGAGAGATGAGGTGCGTCAGGAGAAGCGCCTGGTGTTTAAAGACAGAGAATAACCCCCAAATTCCTCCCTGGTTAACAGGGGAGCGTGCCCCAAACCCCTCCTCACCAAAGGGGACAGAATGAGCTTAACCATCCTCCCTGCACCGCCTCTCTAAGCGTCTCTCTTCCCCTTAACTAAGGCTTTGCAATTTAATCTGAGCTGAGAGGAGCAGGGGTGACCAAGGAGGGATGGGATGCACCACATCCCATCCAGTGCACAACCCCACGCTGATTTTGAGCTCAGCCCCCCTAGCCAGCACCAGGGCAGAGCAGCTCCAGAGAAACACAAAGAAACGGTGCTCAAACCCCGCCGAGCGAGGGGACGCTTCGTCCCACATCCCCTGGCGGTTCCCAGGCACGTGCATCACATCCCACTTCTTGGCGGCACTTATTTGTGCCGAAAAAACAATTTTACTCGCGCCGGAGGCGAACGCCCTCGCAGCACCCGGCCCGAGACACCCCGGGACCAAGCAAAAAGGGGAACGAGTCCCAGGACGGGGCACCAAAACACGGCTCAGGGCTGCGCCCGAGGGGCTGCTGATGACCAGGGGCGGGTTATCTCAGCACGCCGTGCTCCGCACAGCGGGGAACGGCCCAGGGAGCAGCACTGCTAAGAAAATACACGTATGTGCATAAATATAGACATACAAATATATACGAATACACGTGTATGTATACATTTATATATAAATATATAAGAAATACACACACACACACACTAGTGCCTTCTTCCCCCTCAAAGGCCCCCCCGGGCCCCCGGGCTT